CCTCAAACTCCCAGGCCTCTGATAGAGGACCCGAGATTGAGGAAGACACGTACCACCCATAGGGGTGAGAGGGGAATTTTTTATATATACTGTTAAAGCTTACAAACCACCTGGACAGTTCATTCTACTCCAGTGTGAATGCTGTGGAACGGTCACAGATAATTTCTGCATTTTATATGAAATTAATGTGTATCACATAATACAGCAGCTATCTGGTTGCAGAACTGTAGTTCTCAGAGAATGAAATTATGAGTATTTAAATGTTTATGCCATTAATGTTGCTATTATATTCTCTTTATATTTATTTATTAATTCATTATTATATCCCACTGCAATCCTGAAGGACTCTTGGTGGTTCATAGATTATGCAACGTTAAGACTCGTGGCCTAACTTGGCTGTTATCCAAAATCAGAAACAGTTCCTGCAGTAGAAATGTTCTTATTTCATCAACAACCTGAGCACTCAACTCTGCAGGTTCAATAGTGAATTCTGGGATGTTACTGCAGAACCATTGTTTAGTACAGTATAGTCTATATTTTGTAATCCTAATTTCTCCACATAAATCTTGTATCTTTAGATTTTGTTCTTTGGGTGCAATCCATTTTCTGTGAGAATTTGTAGCAGCTAAATATTATTATTTATTTTATAGGCCATCTGACTCCCTTATGGTTCTGGGAGGCTTACCACTAGGAACTAGAATACATATACTTACTTATAAAAGATGCAGCCCTTCTTATATGGCCCTATTTTTGCCAGCATGAAAAGTTCAGTCTCCAGATTAGATGGAATTAGAATAGTGAATCATATTTGGATTTGGAGATAACAGTATGTGCTGCATTGGTAATCATCCCATTCAACATTGTATTTTTTTGAAATTGATGAGTTTTCTGTTATAAAAGGTGTACAGTTTGATGATGACTTCTTAATTTTTATTTTTCAGTCATTTTTGCTGGGTTCCTGGATGCTATCAGTGATGTTTGATTTTGTCCTGGTAGAAGCTATTGAATATTCTTTTGGCCTCAGCATCAGCAGCTTGCCTTCAGGATTGTAAGTTGCTGTTAAGAGACTTTCATAGCTCTTTGTATCTTAAATATTATTTCCATAGCTATTGAAATTTATAAAAATGAAATGTTAAATATGCAAAATTCACCTATTCAGGAATTGAATGTTTCTTAGAACTCTAGAACATTCTGTTTTCTCTTTAGACTTTCGGAACTTGCTATTCTGTGGATAGTTTGGCAGTTCCTAGAAATAAATTCTTTGAATCAGAAAACTCCTGGACAAAACAGACCTGTTCTGGGCTCAGACCACCATTAGATTATCTAAAGCTGTTTGTGGCTTGGAGGTTTTATTTCTGGAAATTGTCAACTGCCCCCAGTACAGTAAGGTCTGGAGAAGGTTTAGCATCATCCAGAGGAGGAATGGAATTCTCCGGAATGCTGCATCCACAAATTAGTGAGTTTTATACATCCATGCTGTTAATCATTTGGAATTTGTGGGGTATATTCAGTGATAGATGAGACTTCTGCTTCTCTTCTTCACTCTCTACATACTTATTTATTTATCAAATTTGTAACGCCTCCTGACTGTCCCTCAGATCTGCTCTGAAGAGTCGCCTGATTTTCTGTGGCAGATTTGGGGTGAACACAGATAAAATGGCACAGTTAATTCCAGATGCTGTTTTATCAATTAACATATACCTTTGCTTGCAACTCTATATCTCCAAAATTTCTTGTTTTTATCCAGTCATGACTGGATAAATTTGAGGGCAGATTGACAGAGCAATCAGTTGCCAACCCAGCTTCGCACTGTCTTTAGTGCATTGCTTTTTATTTTCTAGAATATTTTTTATTTTTTCCCACCCCCCACTCCCATGCACTCCCATTAGGACTAAGAGTTAAATTCAGCACTGTATTTAAGGCTGTATTTATTTGCCTCGCTAGATGTCTCTAGGGTAGCATTCCCCAACCTGGCATTGCCTATGGATGTTGTATTACAGCTTCTGTAATTCCTAGCCAATGTGGTGATTGTGTAGAGGACATGGCTGTATTTGAGAGTGACAAAAAATGGCTGATAACTTTCTTATAGTAGTGATGGTCATTTGAAAACCTGTTGGTGAAATCTTCCTATTTGATGGTAAACTGGTGAGATGTGTATCAGAACTTACAGTACCAAAGGGTTCTAATCAAATAGAAAGCAATAAAAAGCTTTAAAAGGTTTTTTTAATACCTTCACTTGCAAGGGTTTTTTTCCAGGATGGAAACTCTAATGCTGAATTCAGTTTTACATGTCATATCTTGCTAAGCTTTATTTAACTTACCATTAATTTGATTGATGTGTTTATATTTTTATTAGAGAGCTCCATCTGTTTCCTTCCATGCCTCAATTTTAGCTCTGTTTCATTAAGTATCAGTTTCTTCATTTGTTTCATATTTCTTGGCAGGAAAAAGAGCTTTGGTGTTCAGTTCAGCATTGCTGCATGTGCAGAATACCTTTTACCCAGACATTCCCCTCTCCACTGTAATAATATGTTATTTAACATGGCAGAAACTATGTTATAAGCAGCTAGATGCACAATAACACACTTGAATATGCATTGAGATTGGCGCCTATGATTAAAATAAAATCTCCCCAAGTTAAGCTTGACTCTTGGTGAATACATCTATATCTCCATATACTTTTTCTGTCAATAATACAGAAATGGCTTGCCATTGCCTTTTTCTGGGATTTTTTTTTTTCTTTTCAATATGGCTTACAACAATGGATTTCCTGGTGGTCCCCCATCTACGAACTAAACAGGTTTAGCCCTCCTTAGCTTTTATGAGATCAGCCAAAGTTGACTGTGTGTTGCCACCTACTTTGACAAATGAAAGCACATGTAAATTATTTCCAGAAGGAATTCAAGATTTGTTAGCATGCTTGGATACCTTTTCATCTTGCTTTAAGTGGTATACACATTAGACTTAAATTTTATTAAATATGAAACACTTGATTTAGAATTATGGAATTCTCCACCACCCTCCCAATATTGTAAACACTGAAATCATGTGGTTTTGAACAATGTTTTATATCACTCTGTCATAATAAATTGTACAACTCATGCATGTTACGAGGTGGAAACCCCAGTAGCAAAGATGCAAGAATAAATAATGAAGGAAAATGGAATATATTAGAGGCAGAAATTATTATGCATTTCAAGGTAATCAATTTTTCAAAAAAAAAACCATTTAAGAGAGAAATAGTAAAACTTTCTTTTCTAAGCATAATACATTTATTGGCAAATTCAGTTTATTCTAAGCTTTATGTATGTGTGTATATGTGTGTGTGTGTGTGTGTGTTACATTGCTTAACTCATTCTATATCATCTCACTGTTAATATTACTTAATGAACGTATGCTACCAGATCGTATACTTTTTCTCCGAACACTTCGAAGATAATTACGATAAAGCATGACACTGATAACTCGGGCCTGAAATTGTTTAGAAACCAGGTAGTACAGGATTATATCTAGACATGTGCTGAGATTCATGAGAAAGGTGGTAAATGCTCCCCAAGGGTTGAAGCTTGCTTGTCCATTTTGGAGCATCAGAAATGTAAAACAAATGTGAAAAGGCACAAAACATACAAGCACTTGGATAATTAGTGTTACAATGATTTTGATTGATCTCTCTTTAGCCTTTGGTTTCAGCTTGGAAGTTCTTCCATGAATTATACTATAAATGATGACTAGATAACAACCAAGCATACTAAATATGGGAATCAAGAAAAAAAATACTAGCCGAGAAAAATTAAATGCATTGACTTCCTTTAGGTAGATAATATCCATCATCTTCGTGCAGGTAGTGAAATTTGAAGTTTTATCTGGATCAGAATATAAGAACAGCAGTGGAGATGTTGTCACAAGAGTTAAGATCCAAAGTCCTGTGCAGGCCATCAGAGCTTTACTTGTGTTCTTGAGTTCCTTGGCATATTTGGGTTGAACTACAGCCAGGCATCTATCAATGCTTATAAAAGCTAACAGCCATACTGCAATGCTGGGGTACAAAATAGTGAAAGTGCTAAGAATCCGGCAGAAGACATCTCCAAAGATCCAAGAGCGTTTCCCATAATAATGCATTCGAAAAGGCAAGGAAGATATAAGCAACAAGTCAAGCAGTGCAACGTTCATCATGTAGATAGTTATAGTTGTTTTCTTCTTGGTGGTACAGCTGAAGACCCAGAGAGCTGTAACATTTACAAGTAAGCCAGTTGTAAAAATGAAGCTGTAGAAGACGAGTGATGAAATTCGGTATTCCTCAGGATGGCTATTTCCTACCATTGTAATTAGACTGTGATTGTAGTTATTCATAGCTTTCTAATATATTGCCTAAGAATGAAATAGAGGAAAGATCAAGTTTAGTTACTGGTTAGAACAGTTTTGCATTGTAAGGGGTACTGAGAATCAGACCATTCCAGGTATGTATTTTATTCGGGCTTTTTAGAAAAATTGAGTGTATTAACTTTCAGAAACATGATTTTCAGTATTATGCTAAATTGAGAACTAGCCAGTTGGTTAGTGTAGCTTATATGGGTCTGAGATTGCTATAAAAGAAAGCCATCAAGTCTGTTTTACTATTTAAAACACACACATACATACACACACAAACTCCCATACTACATCTCCCAGGTGGAATGAACCACTTAGGCAATCTCTCAGAAAATCCAAGAACTTCAGTTAAGCAAATAAAAAGTAGGAAGCCATAACTGAAGAATTTCAACACCTTTGGTTCAAGAACTGTATGCATGGCTTAGTAGATGGAGAGAAGAGTTCTTCTGCTTTTACACCGAGTATTTTTTTAAAAAACAGCAATTAATGAGATAAGAACAATCAAATGTAGTCTGTGGTGGGCTGACAAGTTTTCAGTATCGACTTTTTCTTTTTTAGTAGCATTGGATAGGCCACTGCAATAGTACAACAATATGCAGACATTTCAAAGGAAGAATGCATTATAATAATTATTTCTTTTAGTGTTCTGGCATAATTAGTCCTGTTGTATGTACCCTGAGCAAGTATAACTGAGAAATTACTTGCTTTGGGTTGTACCAATATTGGCCTAATCTGGAATTATTGACAAAAGTCCCAGGAACGAAGGGCATTTCCTGGTTCACTAGAAACAGGATAGTCACTAAATCTTAATCTACCTTTCAGTGCTATAAAAAAGTGCTCCTCATTTCACATTTCTACTTTATAATATTTCCACAAAGAATCTGTGAAGTTTGTTAAATGCAAGCAATTTGATACATTAAATATTGGTCAATTATCCATAAATAGCCCCCCTTCCTGAAGATCTAGGGATTGTTTTTATCAACTCATTTTCTTTGATGTAAATGACTCTCTTGGTAAACATTAATATTATTTCCCCTAGCTCTAAAATAATTATCTAAAAATAATGAAAGTGGAGGGTGTTTGAATTTAAAAGAATGCAGACTCTTCTGGTAACAAATGGTTTGAAAGAGGAAGCTGGTCAGTCATGTTGAAAGAGAAGCTCTGCTATCTTTTGCTCTTGCAGGTGGGTTGCAGATATTTGCTGCTTTGCATCTACTCTGACTCCCCTCCCGCTCTGCTTTTGTGGGTGAAAGAGAAAGAGTTTGCTCTTCCTTCATCATTCCCTTGTTTCGACTACTTAGAGAGTAAAATATGTGTTGTTGGTGGACAACGCCACTTTCTACACTTGCAGAGGTTACAGTGGGATCCTGTTAGATACTGCAATTCCAGTTTATCATGATTAGCCTTGAAAGTGGGGCTGTTTCAGAAAGTTCTGAATGATGAAGCATGGCAAGAGTATTAAAAGGACAAAGAGAAATAGAAATTAGTTACCTTCTAACACTATTCTCAATTTAAAAAGATGTGCAGTGATCACAAAAATAGCTACTGTAGTGCAGTCTCTACTCCAATTTGGAAACTATTAAAATTCCACTATGTATGGTATAGTAGCCAACTTCTTATGCTTCCAAAAGTATCATGTCCTCTCCCATAAGAATGGTCTTTTAAAGCTTGACTCTTAAGTTTTCTGGAGGAGGTCCTTGCTCACTATTAGCGACTATGTAGGATAATGTTTATTAGCTTATTCTAATGGAATTTTGGCTACACAAGAAGGCCATGTTCATATGACATGCTTGCTTACTTGTGTGTTTATTGAACTATGGGTTATGTACAGTTTTCTGGATTCTTATGACTCAGTGTCCAAATGGTTTGCACCACATCTTAGTCTAAAATGAGATTTACTGGTCTGTGGTTCATGTGTTCTGTGAACTTAGCCAGTGTAGTTGCTTTATGGCTGTGCGGTAGGGCTCTCCATTGCTTTGGATTCAATTCCAGATAGGGGCTACAGTGCATAATCCTTGGAAAAGAAATAGCTGCTGTAAAAAAATTGCAGACAGGTGCTACATTCATGGCCCCACATCCTCCAAAGCACCTTTTGGAAATCAGATCCAAAACACTATATAGCCCTGTTGTGCAAATCCTGCTGTATGTTATGCAAACATAATCTGGTTCTCTGAACAGACTTGGATGTTGTTGCAGTGATTTTGACTAGTTGACAAGGTGAAAGAAAGTGAGAGTGAAGCTATTGATCCATTGGTTGGGTTCTTAACGATATGCTGACTATATTGGCAGAAATGCTAAATCAAGATGAATTGTTACTTGATTTACTGAATAAATACACATTCATGTAGCTATGAAGGAAACATTAAGAATTGAAAAAATAAAAATTAAACCATTATTTGAAGAGTTTTGAGGTAAGGCAAACAGATATAAAGAAAACCTGCATAATGGATCTTTAAATACGTCTGTTTTCTATTTCTAAATTGAACAATTCTGTATTGGTATAGAAAAGCTATCCCTGAGCCTTTAGGAATGCCTAAAGTAGTACCATGTTCTGTGTAAGAAATAGCTGTATTTTGCCTTTTGAAACCATTAGTAATTTTCAACCTATGTACTGGTACCAGTGCCTGTTTATTTAAATCAGCTAAATGTATTTATTTTATTGTACTTATACCTCATGTATTCATTACTTCAGCTGTTGTTCACTCCATCTTGATTGTTTTATAAAAACAGGGATTTTTTAGGCTTGCATATAGTTCTAAAAGATAACATTCATTTAAAATACAACATTGTAATATTAAAAGTCTTTAGTAATGTTTCCATTAATATTTAGTTGAAAACTTGAAAATACACACGTGCATGTACACACACCCTTATGCATAAAATAGAGATTTTCTTACCTTTCTTTTTTGAAAGATGCCTTTCATGGACTCCCAGGCGAGCAAAAGATTTGTTTTTGTCTTGGTAATAAGTTCTGTGATCTAAAATAGAAGCCCTTTTTATAATCAGGAAGTGTCATAGTGCAACTAGATTCTCAATTGGCTCTACAGGTTTTTTTGCAGTTTTTTTGTCTGTGTGTGTACAATTTGTAGCATGAACAAGTTATACTATATTTATATCTCATATGTCAGCTGGCAAAATGTTTCTGTCTGCAAGTGTAACATCCTTTTCAACTGTTCAGCATAAAGTATACGTATAATTGAAATATTATAAAGAAATAGGTGCATTTATTGTTGCAGTTGCTATATTTTATATAAACAATTTATATGATGAACATAGACTCTGTGTTTCTAATATAAAATCATATTTAATTCTTTGCTTCTGTTAAAGTCCAATTAATGCATAGTTTTCACTATCAAGATGAAAGTAAACTGTGAATATAGAGGAATTGCCATGCATTCCCTCTATGTCCTAGTATATTACAAATAAGTTCAGTTTAATTTATAAATTATAAATTAATGTCTAATATATAGAAATCTTATTAGGGTCAGTGACCGGTGAAACAAAACAACGTAAAAGATACTTTAAAAGGAACAAAATGAATTTTGTATTAATAGAATCCTAAAAGTTAAGGAAGTAATTCCTGCATAAATCAGTGGTGACTGAAGCTTTGCAACTCTCCTAGATATATGAGGACAGTAGGAAGCAAATGAAGTCATCCTCAGAACTTGTGAGATTGGTAGTAAGTGGAGTTATAATGGTAGGGTGCAAGTGGCTATAGAAAGGACACCTGAAAATATATGGGCTATAGTTTCAGGTTCCTCAAGGTCATTGATGTCATTTTGCAATAATTCCCTGCAAAACGGGTATTATGTATTATACAGTGGAACCTCGGGTTACGAACGCTTCTGTTCACAAACTTTTCAGGTGATGACCAGCTCTGGCCGCAAAATTTTGCTTCGGTTCGCGAACTCCGCCTCGGGTCACGAACAGGATCCGCGGCCATTTTCTCTCCCATGACACGGTCCGCAGCCGTTTTCCCGCCTGTGACACGTGGTCCGTGGCCATTTTCCCACCCCTGACACATGGTCCACGGCCATTTTCCGCCCCTGACACGTGGTCCGCGGCCATTTTTCTGCCCCTGACACGTGGTCTGCAGCCATTTTCCACCCCTGACACGTGGTCCGCGGCCATTTTTCTGCCCCTGACACGTGGTCTGCAGCCATTTTCCACCCCTGACACGTGGTCCGCGGCCATTTTTCTGCCCCTGACACGTGGTCTGCAGCCATTTTCCACCCCTGACACGTGGTCCGCGGCCATTTTTCTGCCCCTGACACGTGGTCTGCAGCCATTTTCCACCCCTGACACGTGGTCCGCGGCCATTTTTCTGCCCCTGACACGTGGTCTGCAGCCATTTTCCACCCCTGACACGTGGTCCGCGGCCATTTTTCTGCCCCTGACACGTGGTCTGCAGCCATTTTCCACCCCTGACACGTGGTCCGCGGCCATTTTTCTGCCCCTGACACGTGGTCTGCAGCCATTTTCCACCCCTGACACGTGGTCCGTGGCCATTTTTTCGCCCCTGACACGTGGTCGTAGGGAGGGGGACTCTCCCTCCAAGCAATAGCCGCCT